TCGGCAAGGCTTTTTTTAGTGTTTGACTTTATTTTTTAAATTAAATTGTTTCATTAAATTATTTAAGAATTTCTAATATTTTTTATTTTAGATAAGATTTTAGATAAGAAAATTTTATGTAGAAAATATTATTGATAGAAATCCTTTCTGTGTATTAAAAAAAGAACTGAGAATTGAATTAAAATATATTTTAAACATAATTATCAAATTTTTTAATATTCTAAATATTTATACATAGTTGTTAGGTATTTTTACTATTTGTAATTTTCGCATTTTTAGAAAAAAAAAATTATTTTTTTATTTTTTATTTTTGGGTAATTCCTTACCTTATTTAAAATTAAGAAATGGTTTATTGAGGGGTTATTTGTAAAATTATTTAAAAGCTCTTAATCAACATATATATTTTTTTAAATTTGATAATTTGGTTATATTTTATTCTTGACACCTATTGTGTAATATATTTTTGGATATATTCCTAAGTAAAATTGAATATAACAAGTGGTAGTTTCGAGCTGGAATAGAACCAACTAAATCAATTAAAGCGAATTAGTTTCAATTTTGAGCCATTCCGAGCTAAAACAGATTCAAATAACTCAAGTTGAGCCAACTTCTTTTGATTTCGATCCAGATCGAGCTCGATTTAATTTCAAGTCTGCTTGTTTCAAATCGCATATAATAAGCCACCTGCCGATTTTGAATCACACAAAATCTATTTGAATCGTCCCCAACTCGACTCAAAATCAGCCAAACATATGATTAATCAGCGCATATTCATAGTTAAGCCAAGTGGGAAGGTTCAGCACTGGCAATAAATAAATGACCAACTTACAACTCGATCGTATCAGCTAATTAAATTTAATAGTCGGAAATTGACTTGTAAGTTCGGAAGGTTGAGAACAATTATTAATCAGCTCGATAATTCACCTACTCATTTATAAGATGCCATATATTATTCATGTGTGTCTGTTTTTTTTATATACATCTTATTTATTTAAAGCCAATTATATACGTTAATTAATGAAAACCTTAAATTTATAGATAATGGATTGGAGTTTAAGCTCGAATTATATGACCTACTGTACTAGTCTTACTACTCATTCTTTACATGTATTGGTTGTGTTTCTCTTTGACTTTCTTCTACGAAGTTTAGTTTGGAGTTGATATTACGTTAAGACTTAATTTTGGATTTGTATATATATATATATTTTTAGCCGTGATGAATTTCAGAGATACATGAAGATTCAACCAAGGTAGGAAATACATTTTCTTATATTTGATACGCCACCAACAAATTTTTATCATCTGGCACAAATCTCGAAGCATAACACGGATCTCGAGATAATATTTTGAGCAAAAGCATTCAAACTTCAATTAAGAGTCATCTAGAGTTCAGATTTTAGTGAACTTATAGTAAAACTGATTGACTCGATGAGACAGAGCCAATGATATAAGAACTAGTCCAATCTGAGTCAGATCAAGCCCGGATGAAATCATTAAACAATTCTAGGAGGATTTTCGGAGGCATTTGAAAAGTCAAACGGATGTCAAATATAACGAATTCATAGTCGAATCGAGCATCTCGACAAGGAGAATCAAATGAGCCCAAGATTGCTCAATTCTGACATCGTTAAGGCACTCAAATGTTTATCAAACGTCATCTGATCGATGGAAGCTCTCCAGACCGTCAGATCAAAATGATTCATATTCTTTCATTAATTGCACTCAGAACACTATAAATAGAGCCTCATCTCTCTAATGAAGGAGAGCTGAAGTTTAGATAAAAAACCTGAGGCCTTGAAGAGAAGCTGCAGTTGAGCGTCACCGTCGATCGTTGTTGACCTCCGTCGACCACCATTGACCTCCGACAACCATCATCGACCGTTGTCGACCATTGATGATCGTCGTCGTTGTCAACCATTGCCAACCACCGCCGACCGTCGTCGATCTCCGCTGACCGTCGTCGACTACCAATAACCACTATCAATCACCATCAACTAGACGTCGTCAGTCGACGTTGTAATCTGAAAAATATATTTACCCTTTTCCGGCTGTGGGACAAGGGATTTATGTAATCATCAATTAATAGTAGATTTCCGCAACTTGGTCAGGCCTCGTAGTTTTTCCCTTACGGGTTTTTCACGTAAAAACTTCTGGAGTCATCACCGTTTGTTTCTCTTTCATGTGTGTGTGTTAAACATTCATACAACGCTAAGACAATAGTTCATTACTAATCCCGCGATTTTTCTAGCACGCATCAATATTCATGCTGAAATCATCATAATTTGTTTGAGATAAGTTCTAAGTGAAATCTTTTTTGCTGTAAATTTGTTTATTGTTGGATGATAGAAGCTTTTATAGGATTTTTGCAGTTGGAATTTAGGAATATGCAAGTTATTTCTATTGAGTTTTGCTTCCTGTTGGTTTATTGTCGGATGGTGGAATCATCATCTGTTACTTCTAAGGGATAGCAAGTATCAAGTATTATGTCTTCTAGCTTCCATCATATATACTTCTGTCAGAAAATGTTTGAATTTTACATAATTAGTTGAACTATTTTTTCTTTTTTTTTCATTAATCCAAGAGCATTAAATGTATTTTTGAATTGAACATCTTAATTTATTTTATGTTAACATGCAAGTTTTTATTTGAAATTCAACTATTTATATCTAAATTTTACATATGTTTGGCTCTAGACATTTTTTATTTGGAAGATTTACATATATACCAGTTGATTCCTATGAATTTACATATCTAAGGACGAAACTTCAATATTTGACTTTTGACATTTACATACATATCCAGCAGATCATAACTTATTGGATCAAAATTTGTTGGATTGCTGGAGAATATTGAAGTTCTGTTGTACTCATGAAGAAGTGTCTTGTTTATAACTTGAAACAGTGGAGATTTGGAGATTGATTAACGACTTGCTAATTATTTTTTAAAATATATTTTGTTTCCCTTTAGTTTTACTGGTGTATATTTTTACTACTTTTTTCTTCATTTTTTAGGAAAGATTATAAATGTTCTGATATTTTGCGAGTGAAAGATTTGACACAGATATGACATGAAATATTGTTGATTTGTTGTTTCTTCTTGGCGTGGATATGATTGTGCAGAATATTCGGCTTATTGAATCATAGATTGCATAAAAAAAAGAATTTTGATTTTTTTTTTGTTTTTTTTTTGTCTAAATGTGGTGTAAAAGTGTAATAAATTGGTTTGTCCTAAGGTTTGACAATGTGTAAAATTTGTAATTGTGATCAATCTTAATGAGGTGATACATGTAACAGTAAATTTGTAATTTTTTTCCCTTATTTCAAAAACTAATACACATTTGTGTTTAGAAACATTGAATACATACTTGATGATGTAAATGCATTAATTCTCTTAAATGTTCAAAAGTGATGCGTGCTAAAAAATTCGCGGCCGTAGAGTAACAAATTATTGTCTTAGCATTGTACGAAAGTTCAACACACACAGAGATGAAATAGAAAAAAATGGTGATGTATCAAAAGTTTTTACGTGGAAAACCCGTAAGGAAAAAACCACGGGGTGTGACCCGGTTGCGGAAATTCACTATTGATTGATGATTATAGAATTCTCTTGTCCCACAGACGGGAAATAGTAAATATAAGTCGGTGGTGGTCGTCTGAGGCTCTCTCTAGACTTTTTTCCCCTCATGAGATGGATGAGACTCTATTTATAGTGTTCTGGGTGCAATTAATGCATGAATATATATCGTTTTGATCGGACGGTCCGAAAAGCTTCCCTCGATCATACGACGTTTAATGGACATTTGAGTGTCTTAATGATGTCAGAATTGAGTGATCTTGGGCTCGTTTGATTCGTCTTGTTGAGTCATTCGATTTGAGCATAAACTTGTCATATTTGACAGTAATTTGACTTTTCAAATGTATTCATAAATCTTCTAACTCTGGTTTAATGACTTGATCTGTGCTTGATTTAACTTGGATTGAGCTAGTTTTCATATCAGTTTTCATATCATTAGGTCTTTCATATCATTAGGTCTGTCTCATTGAACAGATCAGTTTGACTATAAGTTTGCTGAAATCGTAGCTTTGAATGGCTTGTTATCATCATTTGTATGTTTCTTGCATAAAATATTATCTCGAGAGTCGTGTTATGCCTCGAGATTCGTGTTGGATGATGAAAAATTGTTGGTGGTGTATAAAAAAGAATAATAATATTTTGACTCTAAATTTTATTTTAAGCAAACAATTTTCACACAAAATTTATAATTGTTAATTAATTTTAAAGATTAATATTTATTATTTTATCCTATCAAGCCTGATTTGAGCTGAACACGTGTTAGACGCGAACAACTAAAAATTAATAAGCGGAACACGAACAATGTCTAAGAACTGATTGGAACACTACCCAAACACAAACAACAATATTTTTTAAAGAGTTAAACACGAGCTAAGCATGGACTCGCTCCAGCTCGACTTGTTTATACGCCTACTTTTTGTGTAGTAGTGTTAGTGAGCCAAGCTGACAACTGAGTCAGTTTAAACTTGGCTCGATGGCTCATTAGCTGAGCTCAATAAATTAGTAAGTCAACTTCAAACTAACCCCTACTCTACTCATTTGCTTGTGAGTCGACTCATCTAAAAAATATTAATATAAAACATGTTTAAAATATTGTAAAATTTTAAAACTTTAGCTTTAAATTTTCAAAAAAGTTCAAAAAATGCTATATTTAATGTTCATATCATATAAATTTATTATTGTTTATCTCATAATTGTTAATTTATTTGTTATTTTAGAATAAAATTAGCTTAATTTAAGAATTATTTTCTCTCTTTTATAAAAAATAAATTGGCTCGAATTCATAGACAAAAGTTCATGTTCAAACTCAAACAATCAATCAAATCAAGTTGGGTGATGAGAGTAGCTCGAGCTCAACTGCTCGAGTTAAGCTCGAGCTCAATCAACTCAACTCATTTACACCTCCAGTTTTTGTCTAGATGTGCGCGTTTAAGGCCAATTTACGATTGATTAATATATCAAAACACTGAAATAATACTAAAAAGGTTCACATAATCAAGACATAATTCTCCTCAACCGTTTGCTACAAACCATAAAAACATTACATCATTATACTAATTAAACCATTAGCGGCAACACAAATCTTCACCACCGACACCTTTCAGTTGCGCTGCCCCACCGCAGCCGCCGGATACCGGTCAACGCAATCATTCCAGGGACTCGTTGCCGGTTTCTTGACCCGCCGCACAGCCCGCCACACCGCACTGTTGCACTTAAATCCCGAACCGAAAGCCAGCTGCCAAACCCTATCGCCTCGCTTCACCCTCCCCTTCGCCTCCAGGTAAGCCAGCTCGTACCAAATGCTACTGCTGGATGTGTTGCCGAAGCGATGAAGCGTGCTTCTAGAAGCTTCCATGTCCGTCTCCTTCAGCCCCAGGTTCTTCTCGAGCTCGTCGAGCACTGATTTGCTCGCCGCGTGGACGCAGAGGTGTTCGAATGCGAGGCGGTAGTTCGGGATGTAGGGTTTGGTGATGCCTGAGTTTTGGTCGGAGGGGTCGCCAGCGGCGGGGGATGAGGAGGAGGAGGTGTTGGTGGCGCTGGAGGAGGAGTTGCGGAAGAGTTGGCGGTAGAGGAGTGTGGCGAAGAAGATGAGTTGTTCGGAGAAGGGGAGGACGAGAGGGCCGAGGGTTGTGATGTTGGTTTTGAGAGCGTGGCCGCCGACCTCCATTAAATCGCGGCTGATGGAGAGGCCTTTGATGCGCTGGTCGTCTTCTTCTTGGTACACGCACCTGTGGTGCATTGGGGTTACTGATCAGAAAAATTGCAGCTTTCTCTGTTTAACGAGAGGTGTAAAACAGGGGTTTTTCATACCTGAAACTCCGATCATCGCTCCCCTTATGGGTGCGCACAATATGCTCGAGACTGTACTTGGCCCGTCTGTAATCCCTCCTCCTATTGGAAAGCAGAACGGCGGAACACCCCGTCCGAAAGAAGCAATTGGGAATCAACATGCTCCGATTCTTGCCCGCATACCAGGTGAAGCTCACCGCCTCCGTGCTGACGACAACCGCATAATTATTGCCGTTGGCCTGCAACATATCTCGGGCCAAATCAAGGGCGATGATCCCGGCGCTGCAACCCATGCCGCCGAGATTGTAGCTGAGTATATTGCCGCGCATCTTGTAGTGATTGACGATCATGGCGGAGAGGGAAGGGGTGGGATTGAAGAGGCTGCAGTTGACGACGAGAACGCCGACGTCTTTGGGACGAACGCGGGATTTGAGGAAGAGTTCGTCGAGAGCGCCGAACATGACGGTGGAGGTTTCGGAGCGGCCTTCTTTCATGGTGGCGCAGTTGGCGGAGGAGAAGAGGGAGCGGGGGAGGTAGCTTTCGTCGCCGATGCCGGAGGATTTCAGGATTCGCCGTTGGAATGAGAGGGAGTCTTCGTCGAATTTGCCGGAGGAGCGGGCCAGTTCGATTAGCTCCTCCTTCGATACCTGTGTAGTTCATGTTATAGAATTGATTTGTTAAGTTAATCTGTCAATCATAAATAATTTTTTTATGCTTCATTTATAAATGAGTTTAACACAAGATAAAAGTTTTTATTTTAGCTCGAAATATTATATATGCATGTACATAAAATGAGTATTATTTTAAAATAATTTAATTGACTTTAACACTATAAAGATTTATAATCACTTAAAATTATTAATTAAAAAAATTTGCTCCAAATACATTAAATCATATTTTGAATAAATATTTAATATAAATAATAAGATTTAAATCTTGCCCCTATTATTAGCACACTACTATGTGATTAAGACTGTTAAAACGACTCGTTCGAAAACAACTCGTGTTCTGCTCGCTAGGCAAATTAGCCAAACAAAAATGATTTTTTTGAGCGGAAAGTGGTATTTTTTAATGAGTCAAACACAAAAGGAGCCGGATATCGTTCAAGCTCAACTCGTTTACGCCCCTCAGTGCGATGGGTTTGATTTGTATATCTATTGAGAAAATTTATTTACAAGATTAGCACACTTGGAAAGTACATTTACATTTGCAACAGCAAATTTTTGTTTTTTTAACAATTATACCACCCAAATTCTTACATCATATAAAAATTATCATTTTTAAAAAATGAAAAGCATTTGCATATGTAAACACAAAAAAATGTTGTGATTTTTTCGTCGTTTGATACGTGCGTTAGTTTCATTAACGGTAGCTATGAATGGGGATTAGTGCAATGGGCTGATTTGCATATCTACTATTGGCGTATATAGCACTGCCTAAAAATTATTTACGAAATTAGCACACTCTTGCAATACTCTTGCAATTTACTCTTACATATCTAACAACTAAATTTTAGCTTGTCACATTTTGACCCCCAAAATTTTTTTATATCCCGTCAGAAAGGTCAGTAAATATAAAAAAAAATTAAATGATGCATGTGTAAAACTTAGGGGGTGTTTGGGGCAACTTGTGCGTTTCGATATAAGAAGCTTATCCTGAAATGTGGATGCATGTGTAAAACTTAGGGTGTGTTTGGGGCAGCTTGTGTGTTTCGGGATAAGAAACTTATCCTGAAATGTGGATGCATATATAAAACTTAGGATGTGTTTGGAGCAGCTTGTGCGTTTCGGGATAAGAAGCTTATCCTGAAATGTGACCCGCGGGTCGACTGTAAAGTTCGACCTGCGGCCTGCGTTTAATGTAAAAATGAAACCCCATTTTCGAATAACCGGAAAAAACACACGATCCAAGCAGTACTGTGGCGTTTTCAAAAACACCTCTGCACTTATAAATTACCCTAAAGAGACCCCTAATGTTATAAAAAATTAAAAAAAAAATTATTTTGTTCGAATCAATTAACATTTTAAATATGATATAAAGAAGCCACGGTTAATTAATGTTAAATAATCTACAAGAAAAAAATAATTATGCAAATTTGATGATGCGTTTGGTTGAATTTGTCAACAGGCTCAATGGAAAACCTAAAAAAAGCTCTCCAAATTATGATTTTGTTTTAGCCATTGCTAATGAACCGATCTCTAATTCAAATAATTAAGAGAACAAATATATCTAAAAATTCTATACATAAGTAGCCGCTTAATAGCAACGATGGGTGAAAGTGAGTCAAGCCGGTGCGTGAGCCTCCTGCTAGGAATTGAGCTCAACACGCTAAAAATATAATTAAGAAAATTAAAATTCAAGAACTTTTGTTTAAATTATTAAAAATATTCAAAAATTAATATTTTATATTTTATATTGAGTTATTTGTTATTAATTATCTTTTAAATGTTCATTTTATTTGCCGTTTCATTACAATACAAATTTAAATTAATATTTTTTTCTCTATTTCATACAAAATCAACCGACTAGTGAGCTGGCTTGAACTCGTAGGGTTAAGTTGGAGCTAAGGCTAGAACTCAATTAATTAATCAAGCCATGCTCAAGTCAAAAAAGGCTCAAGCTTGACTTCATTGATTTAATGAGTTAGGGTATGTTTGGGGCAGTTGTAGCTTAATGAATAATCTGCTGATACACTAGGTGCGGCTATTGCAAATTTTTATTTTCTTAGAAAAGTCAGACTGTTGCCAATAAGCTGCAACCGCACCTAGAACGGTACGGTGTGAAAACACTGTTTTCTACGTTTTGAAAACGCATAAACTGCCAAAACACAGTTTACCCAAATAGGTCAGACGCGTTTTCAAAACGTCACCGCACCAAATAAGCTGCCCCAAACGGGCCTTTAATCTTTTGCGTTGACTCAATTTGACTTACTGAATTTTTTCTAAGACATTTAAATTAATTTAAATTTGAATTGAATTTTAGCAAAACTCAAACCAAACATCTAATTTTCATATCAATTACAAGATGATGGCTAAAATCATCAAACGTTTATTTTATTTTGTTTTTTTTTTTTTTGCAAGTTTTGGGCAAAAATAAATTACTAAATTTAGTAAACTATATAAGAAAAAATATTAAATTTTATTATTTTTCTAGAGAAATTGTAATCTGGTTCCTCCCCTCCGAGAAAATCTTCCTTATCTTCACCCCTTAAGATATATGTAAATATACAAATAAATACGAATGCTTAGATGTTAAAAATATAAATATTTAAGAATTGCGTGGTAGGTATGTAAATGTCCCTTATCTATTTATATGTTTGTACTTGCTTCTCCTTCACTTCCACTTATGTACGTAGCCCAGACCACATTCCCACACGCCATTCTTGTGAGTTCAACCAACCTACCAACTCTTTCTGTACATTACCAATCCTATTTTTGTTTTTTTAAGCATGAGATTAAGCTAATTACGTCTGTAATCAACTATAATCTTGCAACATAATATGCATTTTAACATATAATTAACATTTTTTGTGTCAATTAATTTTTTTTTAAAAGAAAAATAAAAGCCAAAAGCACTATCTATTAAATTTCTCTTGATTTATCATGTAAAATTTTTAATTTATAAAATTGTGTGTCAAGAACGACTACATAATTTTGTTTTGTTATAAAATTTTAATCAGAGATTTGCTTATCACACAAAAATTGTAATCACATGTTGTAAAAAGCTGCAGTAGTATTTAAATTTTTTTTTTTTTTAAAAGTCAGATCACAGCTAGAAATCTGCGGCTAGACCTAACCAAGAGCGAAAAAACGTTGATTTCAGAGAGTTTTTTGAAAAAAAATTATCAAAATACAGTTTATTCAAACGGGCAAAACTAGAATACAAGTTTTTTAGCTCGTGCCTGATCTATGATTAATTAAATCAGAAAATCTTTCGATCATGTTATTGAATTAATTGATCACAGTCTTAGTCTATGACAACAATCATCATAAAAATTACACACACACAACAATATAATTTATAAAACGTCACAAAAAAAAGGGACAATTATATAAATAACGCTCCAAACTTTGCTATTTATGACATGTGAGCAAGTTTTGTATATAATAAAATTTCAAGTGCGATGCATATGATATCATACCCTTGATTTGATACATCTTCTAACTTTATTCAACAGAATATTATAAAGTTGTTCAACATCCCACCATTTATATTTTGATACCACCAAAACCATATATCTAAGAAATAATTACATATTAATCATCCGAAACAATAATATTTATAAATTGATGTATTTACAATTGTCACGATCAAATTATTGAGAATTTGATAAAAATAAAATATTATTAAAAGAGAAAAACAGTTTTTCAGTCTAAAAAATATTCATCATGTCGTCTTTGGCTTGCAACTTAGGATTTTAAGTTAAATATGATTTATCAAATCCACGCTGCAACCACTTTGCTTGCGTACAAAGTCAAAATAAATAGGCATCGTGATCCAATTCATTAAATCCAAATCTAAGCCGCTTAATTGACGGAACATGCGAAGAAAAAGACCGAAACGTGAGAAAATTCTATTTGACAGAGCCTTAGATTTAATTTTCATTTCTTTTAATATTTGATTGGATTCATGTTAAATCAATAGCTAAATTCAAGTACTAAGATGCTACCAAACATTCCCGCCCAAATTAAACTAAAGCCAACATAATAACAATAATGATAATAATAATAAAGTGAATTTACATACATAGCACCCAATTCCCATGCATTTACTTATCTCATACTCAAACTTAATTTTTACATACAAAGCACCCATCTATGCAAATCGTGTAATCCACCTCTTCAAAGAAAATAGATGTTTAATTTGTAAAAATTAAAGTTTAGGGTCCGAGATAAATAAATGCATAAAAATTAGGTGCTATGTATGTAAATTTCCATAATTAAAAAAATAAATAAATAAATAAAACGAACCTTGAGCTCATCGGACGGTCGATAACAAGCGAAATCGACGAGATAAATGGGCCTGGGCCGGGACATGAAGTAGACGGAAATAGTAAAAACGAGAACGGCGAAGAAAGCGAGCACCGTGGCCAAATCATAACTAGCTTCTTCCCACACCTTCCTCCACAGCTCCTCCCGACTCAAACTCCCCACTTCCGCGCTGAACACCACCACCAACACCGGTATGGTGGCCAGATATATCCCATGGCTTATCAGATAATGATACCCGAGCTTCACGTACTTGAGGTTCACGGACTGCAGGAAGTCCGGCAGCCGGCGGCGAACTCTGACCACGCTGACCACGAAGGTGGGCGAGCCGGCGTCGGGACCGGAGGACTCGACGCCGCGGTTGACGATTTCGGCGGAGAGAAAAGTGTGCTCTCCGGCGGCGGCCATGAATGCGGTAGCGGTGTTATGAATGAGAGGGGGGAGGGAGGAGGGTTTATAGAGAAGGAGAGAAGGTGGGTGGGGAGAAGGAGATAGTTAATGCGTGCAACAAACTTGGATGGTTGTAGTTGGAACTGCCATGAATGCTTGTGGTGGTGTTATGAATGAGAGGGGGATGGGGAGGTGAGGGTAGGGAGTTAAATTAATATTTATTGTTTATGATGGGAATGGGGTTTTTTCTTTTTTAAATAAAAAAAAATATATATTTTTGGTTTTAGATTCAATTGATTGATTTGTTGTAGGATAGTTTATGATTGGAAAGGTGATTTTTTTATGTGGTTTTTAGTGTTTTTGAGTGGAGAAATTGTTACATGTCATAAAAAAATAATAAATGGTGGGTTTGTGTTTTGTATTAAATGTTTGAGATAGTTAATGTTTTTTTTTTTTTTTTAATTTAGTTTAGTTTGATTTTTAATCAAGAGAAAGGTGTTGAAAAATTATTAAATTTTTATGAGGGAAGTTTTTTTTTTATTATTATTTCTAGATTTTTAAAATTGGGTTTGTGATATTTGCAAAGATTTATGACCTATTTGGGCAACTTTAATTGTTTACTTTTGAAGCATGATAGGTGTTCTATTTGGCTATTAATTTATTGCTATTTCTTAGAAGTTTAGTAGTGAGAAGCTATTTTCTTACAATTAAATTTACCTATAAGAAACTATTATCTGATTTTTTTTTATAAAAATAAATAAATATTTATAATAATCACAAAAATTTTATAAAAACAATTGCTTTTCCCACACCAACTTTACAGTCACCTTTAAAAATGTCATGTCGCCATACGAATCGGACGGACAATCACCAACGGCTACGTCGCCATACACATCATATATAGGTGATGTGATTGTTAGTGGTTGGTCAGATCTTTATTGTTAGACATGAAAACTAATTGATCGATCATTTGTTGTGAAAACAAATTATATAAAAAAAAAATGTGTTATCTCCATTCATATAGACATGTAAACACACATGCGCCAAAAAAACAAAAAAGAAGTAATACTTATAACACCATTAATTAATAATTAATTAATGAACAATAAATTAAATACTATTATTAACAAATTTGGAATGAAAATAAGGACAATAAATGGCAGTACTGAAGTTGGAAGCTACATTAATTCTCTTCTCCTTTAGTTGGGAATCGAGAAAGATTAAGTATTTGGCTCTACTGATAAACAGTATATGAGAAGGGTCTGCAGCGGGTATTATGAGCAGTCAAGGTTTGATTTGCAATGGTAAGTGAAGAATTTAAGTGCATTGGCTAAGGCATTTGTATTATGCCTTGCATTCTTTTTTTCAACGGTTAGTACGTAAGTGTTTGCACTTATATATTCAAAATGTAAGAGCTCAGAATACCACTTAGATATTGGAGGAGGAGGAGGAGGAGGAGGAGGAGGCGGAGGAGGAGGAGGAGGACGATGACGACGAAGTGAAGAAGAAGAAGAAAAAGAAGAGGAGACTGCATGAGAAAATTGGTTGACTTTAATGATACTTTAAGATGATATTGTTGTATCTACTTATGAGTTAGTTGAACTACAATGAAATTATTTTTTATTGTCCATGGGATCTCTACAATCTATTACATTTGACTGTGGAATATTATGTAATAATCAAACCATTTGTGTTACTATTTATGATATTATTTTGGATACTTGAAAGTGTCAAAATATAAGGAATAGTGAATTGTTTTATAATTTTTTTATATAGACTTCTAGCATCCTTTTCCCGAGTTGGGATTGATAAATATGTAGTCACAAATACACATTGTGATGGTAAAATATTACAAGGCCATTTTTTATCGAGGTTACTTGTCTATCAATAATGCATATAAAATGATGATTTTGCTATAGATTAGAAGTTTGAAAGGGAATTCATTCTATACAATTGTCTAAAGAAGACAATTTTTTTTAAAATAATTATTCATCATCCTTTTTACCATCAATAAGAAGTTTGATTAATGTTATTAGCTTGATAAAGCAAGCACAAATCTATAAACTGAATAAAATAATAATATTATTTTTTATTTATTCACATAAGAAAAATACATTGTAGAATTGTTATATCAATGTGATGTCATTGTATTTGCTATCACAACCAATTTGGATTCATCTTGAATAACTTTCTCTCTGTATCGCCATTAACATTTGAGAAAGTGTGTTCAGAAGCTCGGTTGGGAAAATACTGCATCAACATTGCCTCTAATCTCTTTCAAGAAGCCTCCATGACATTGATGCTTTAAATTCTCCACTTTGATTCAGTAATAACATATCATAGACATGTTCGAGTCTTTCTAAAGCTTTCAAAAAATTTTTTAGCAATCACATCCAACCAATCACTTCGTCTCGAGGACTTCTTTGATCTTCAAAAATGTAACTAAGGCTCTGACTTTCATTTCTATTTGGATTAGATTAGCCTTTTGATGTTAGAGATGATTGGTACAATCATCAACTCATTCAGACACATCATTTACTGAACCATCAAAATCTTCCCTATCCACTCGAACATCAAACTTCATTTTTGATAAGATTTAAGTTATATACTTATATCATTGAATTTTTCTTCTAAAACCATGAATTACATTAAAAAAATTTAATTTTTTTGATTCATTTAAATTTCCTATAATCACAATGTAGTAAATAAATCTTGGGGGCTATTTACATGCATAGCATACAAGACTTTCATTTATGGTTCTGTCAAATCTAAACTTTTATAATTACAAACATCTTATGAAAAATAACACTCATTATAGTCAAATCTGTCTTTTCATTCATAGGTAAAGTGCTATGTGTGCAAAAATAAAATTTTAGGTGACAGATAAGTAAATCCATAAGAATTGAATGCTATGTATGTAATTTTTCCATAACTAATGGTTTATCACGACTCGACCTAGGGCTTAAAATTAAATAAGATGAGGATGGACAGTTGGACGGTGTGAATTAAATTTACTATATTTAGCTATTATTTAAGAGATGAAAATAATCATTAATCAAACTAAACCAAAGCAATATATATATATATATATATATATA